TAACATATATAATTTATTTAAATAAAACTACAATATATTTTAATTACATAAATTTAACTAATATATATTTAAATTTATCTAAGTAAATATAAGTATTTATTTAATAATTCGTCTCCTAGATTAAATCTCGACATCCCAAGACGACAGTGCTAGGGAATGTTTGAGCGTATTAGAGGACATCCGATTCCTTTTTTTCGTAATCACATCTCCAGCACGTAAGAATATTCGCTTGCTAGGGACAGATGTTGTTTGTTGTGCCAGATGATCCCTTGCCATTTGTGAAGGCATGGAAATCGTGCTTGGTTTCCTTTTCACATTTCTAAAACATTAACATTTTCAGGACAAACCGGTTCCCTAAATATTCGTCGATTTCATTATCAAAGGCACGCTTAAATTTCTCTTTTTAGATGTCATAAAAAAATTATTAGATATATTATTTAATTTATATACTTTTATAATTCCTGGAATATGAACATAGATGTCAAATTATTCGAATTTCTGTCAATATCGATAAATTTATAAATTATCTCAGAAATTGAAGAATAAGTTGTCAATATATTTTTAAGATCTTCATAATCTTTTTGGATATAAATATTATAAAGAATTAAGGGTTTTTTGATCCTTGGATCTAAAAATGAGCAGGCATAATTAGCAATATTTGCTATTTCCCCCATATATTCATCACATTTTAGATACTGCAGTCTTTATTATTTATATTTCGCACGTTATTTTATAAAATGAACACAAGAATACTTCTAGAACTGTTTATAGTCGTCGTAAATCCTTATTAATGACAGAATTATGCTTCCCTAAAGAAAATTGACCTAACTCAATAATTGATTCGATATTTATATTAATGTATACAATGATTTTGTAAAAATAATACCTTATAGCAGCTATCATAAGATATGTGCTATTCCAGCGTGTAGCCACGTCCGGAGTAATTTTAGTACCACTACTATCTTGGTATACTGTTACATTTTTGGCGAAGTATGAAGCTTGCTGACTAGCGTATGAATTACCTCCAATTTATTTTACCAGAAGTTAGTTGTTCTTTTAAGAAAAATCGAAATTCAATTGATATGAACATTAAAACTCTCAATATCGATAGTAATAATTTAAGACTTACACTAAGGAATTTAAACGTAAAATCAGCCACTTCCCACCATTAAAATAATTAAATTATACTGAAGTTCTTGGGTATAGGCTTTCTTAGCCTATGGACGTTTAAATAACAGTTCTCGGACTGTTGTATGTGCTTGCCCACAAAGTTGTAGATGCTCCTCATTTTTAATTTTTCATCCAACTTAAAATCCAGTTAGATAGAAATTAGCAATACTTAGCATAGCTCTATTGAACCTTCAAAGATAGAGGGCATAAGCGCTATAAATCATTTAAATACTTTTTATTTTTATTTATAAAAAACAAGAAGTTGGCGCCAGCTAATTATACAATAAGAAAGGAAGAAAAAGAATTACCATAAAGAAGGGAAGGGTGGGGGTATTGAATTTTGGCTTAAGAATTTTTTTATATATAAAATATGGGCCTATGTTTTTGGATAAAAAAAAATCTATATAATTATTCTATTTATTTTAACATTGATTTCTTTTGCGCAATGATGATACGAGAAGTTTTTTATAGATCAATCTAAAAAATTTACCTAAAGTGTTATAAAAATAGGATATTTTTTGAAATTTTATCATTATTGCCATTCTGTAGTTCTCTATATTAGTTTTAAGCAAAAAATATAATCATTGCTGAAATCGAGTCCATTTGGATTAAAAAAAATTTTTTTTAAATTAAGAAGTTCGAAAAATGTCTGTCCCATTATTTTCAAAATTAGTATCCCTTAACTTTGTAACAATTTCATAAGAATTATTTTATTTATTCGAAGACAATATATAATTATTCGCAAATATTAATAACGGAATCAATTCAAAATCTTATATAAATAATATATCAAGACTCAAAAGAAAACGTTGTTTAACAAATATTTATTAAGTTTGATGATTAAACACATAATGTCTAATCTAGTTCGTAATGGAGTTACTTAATTGTAGTGCACTGAAATCGTAGTGCACTGAAGGACCTTTCCAACGATTCTTGCGAGCAAGGATCTGCTAGAACTAGGACTAGAGGATATATAATACAGGCTCTTGGAATTTTTTGGATGGTCATTATTGCAAAATATTTTGATGGTAGGGAAATTTTTGGCTATATATTAAGCAATTAATTTTTATCGTAATATCCATTAGCGAATTAGTGATAAATAACAAATAAATACATTTCGGCTCAAAATTAAACTTGAGCCAGCTATTGTGCCTAGAAAATAATTATTTCGAATTCGTTGCTAAATATTTAATTAATAATGAGAACTACTCGTCCCTCTAGTTTTTAATTTAATCGATCAAAACTAGTGTGTAAATTAAAAATGATCAAATATTTCAATTTAAGAAGAGAACAATTTTTTTAAAAAAATCTTAAAGATAATTATTTCTATATTTGAAATACTCGTCCTCTATACATAAAAATATGATTGAGCAAAATATTATATTAATTGGGTTAGTGCTTTATAAATTTGGTTGACAAGATCGTCCCATTTGGTTGGGCTGGTTCATTTTTCAGACCAGAAACCATGGGAATTCGACCCAAACAAGCAATTTAACCATATTAGAAGATACAAATAGGCAGATAATCAAATTATTTGATCCTCGTTTTTTTTCACTCGTATTTAATTATTTTAAATACTTTCATTATCTTATCGTTCATTGATTAGAATAGGAAATTTTATTTAATGTATTTTCCGTTTAAGGTGTATGTTCTTTTAAAGAAATAAATATCGATCCATTACCCTTTAGTAGTGTTGTAAACGAACGCGTTGACGAAGTTCGTTTTTATGAAAAAAATGATGAACGGCGTTCCTTTTATTTTTGACGAACTTTGAACGTCAACGCGTTCCTTTTTTATGACGAACGCGTTCGAATTTAACGTTCCTTCAATTTTAAAAATATTTTTATTATATTTATTTGAAAAATTTAATATTTCCGAATTTTTTTAAAAAATGTATTATTTATATTTTTTAATCGGCTGTGTATTTCCTTTTCACATTTCAATTTTTTTAACACATAGTTTATTAATTTGAATATTATTGTTTATATTTTAATTTAATAGATTAGCATAAGCATGGATATTATTATTTAATCCTCATCATCTGATTCTGAATATCTAAAATCAGATAAATTATCATTACCATGGCCAAATATGATAAATGTTTTACATTAACATCCTATATTGAAGGAACTAATCCAATGCTTGCCAAGTATAAAATGTGGCCAAAAAGTATATTGTCAAAATCTTCAGGTTCCAATTTAAAAACGACATGATTTTATATGATATAACTAAGTTAAATCATTAAATTTGAAGAAATAATGCATTTGGGATATTTGACCGCAACAATAACGATAGTTATTTTAAAATTAAAAAAATTAGTGGCCTCAAATATGGTCAACCATTGATAGACGCCGTATTAAATGGGAATAATAAAAGGTATTAAACCTATCACTCTCAATTAATTACATATTATTTTTTTAAAGATTTGAACATATATATAAGGATCAATATGTTCTTTCTGCAATTATACACCCAGCATTCAAACTTCAATAACCATGGATAAATCTTCCACAGAACGAACCTATTAAAAATAACTTATAGCGTTATTGAAAAAAATGCTTTGAAAACCCTAGAGAACTGTTAATTTCGAGATATCATTTTTTTGTCGAGAGTAAAGAATGGATTGGAGGATAACTTATTTCAATTTTTTGCAAATAACAAAACAATGTTTTTAATTAATTCTCCACGTTAAAAGAGCTGTTATTAAGTATAATACCGCAATCCCCTCATCTGCCCCTGTAGAGCGCGTTTTTAGTATAGCTAATGCCGTATTAACTGCCAAGTGTTCCTGTCTATCAGATAAATATTTTGAAAACAATTGTTATTAAAATATATTAAGAAAAATTTTTTATAAATAAAAATATCTTTTTATTCTCTATATTATAGTATATTTTATTTATAATTATATTATCAAAATAAAATTATATTATTTTTTAACATGGTTAAAATATATTGTATTAGAGAATAGAAGTTTTATTTATATTAAATTATATTTAAAAAAAATTTATCATAAAATTTTGAACGGTTTTTTGAACGTGAACGCGTTCCTTTTTTTTGAACATGAACTTGATCGCGTTCGATTTTTGTCAATGAACGTTGAACGCGTTCGGTTTTTTTAGAAATGTTTACAGCACTACCCTGTAGTATCAGAATTGGTAAAATGGTGGAATAAATATCTGATTTTTTTAAATATACTTTTTGACGAAAATATATTCGGTCGATTAACAGTATTTAACAAGTAAAATTTACTTACCGCCAAGCTTGAAATTTTCATAATTGCTATAAATCTAATTTTTTGGAATACGCAGCTACAATTATGGTATAGTTTATGCGCAGAAACAATGGTGTAAAATTTTTCTACATCAAAGCAATGGTAAATTTAGCAAAAATGTTTCAAAAAAAATACATGCCATTATCTTTTGAAGACATGAACTGTAAAGTTCAACTTAAAATAATTTTAAATGTGGTGGATCATTTTTAATTTTTATCAAATAAAAATTTTAAATAGCAATCGAATAATTATATTGAACAAAAAGTGATCTCTTCGTAACTTTTTACAAAAATAATAAACTGTAAAGTTCGGCTTATAATAATTTTAAGTGTGGCGAACATTCTTGGCCATTTTTAATTTTTGGCCAAATAATGAAAATTTTAATAGCAATTGAACAATTATATTGTACAACTTCTTAATCCTTTTCAAAAAAAAACAAATTTTTGGAGAAATACTAAAATCAACGTGTTTCAATTTTATTCAATAAAAATCTATAAAAATAAAATTAACAAAGAATACTATTTATAGAAATATATATTATCAAGTAAAATTGTTCAATATAATAATTATTACGTTATATTTATAATTTAATATGAAAACAATTATAATAAACAGATTTTTTCAAAAATAATTAATAAAAGAATGTGTCATTTCCGCTTTTTACTGCTATTCTTATTGAGGGTGGAGTTGATAGGTGTTGCGGCCAATGTAGGTGTCGTTTCTACTTTCCTTTTTGCAGTGTTCTAAAAAATATTAATAAAATTTTAAATCAATATTATTTTAAGATTTGCATAAAATATAAATAATGTATGGTCCTACACCATCTCGTATGATTACTTTTTAAATATAACCTTTATCGTGTATATCCAGCTAGTCTACCACCTTCCCCCCCCCCACCCATTAAACCTTGACCCATAACTAAATACCCCAACTGGCCATCATAATTAATTATGACTATATCAGGGAGTTGAACAGTTATGTATAATGAGCGATACAATTCCATACCGGTTCTTAGTTTAACATTTTACTGTTTATTTTTGTAATAATTTAACTCTTTATTTCTATTCCGATTATTTTTGAACACATTTATCAAAGTTTACCATAAGTAGTGTTGTTAAATCAAAATTACCTATTGGCCAACTCTAAAACAGCGACATGTTTTATCCCAAAATATTAATCTCAAGTCACGATGGAGCTGGTCAAAATTAAATTATTTAACAACACAAGCCATAAGATTAATTTTTTGATAATACTTAAACTATATACATATTTTTTTTTAAAAAAAAAAAAAAAATTATGCGAGTTGGTTTAACAGAATTGGTACAATAATAAATTTATGCCATCGCGAGTTAGTACAATACTTGACATCGGTCATTTTATAATTATGATAAATCTGAGGTTTTATTTCAAAAAACAATTTTACCTTTTGCACACTTCCCTGAGTAGGAGTAGCTAGGGATGGCTTTGGTCCGCGTTTTTTCCTGTCCGATTTCTCTCTTTCTTCAAGCTCCAAATTTTCCCTTTCAATGAGAGTAATAAGGGTGTTGCAGCGTCTTTGTAATTCCTGTTTTAAACACAAATATGTAAAACTCGTTATTATCATTATATTTATTGTTCAAATATTTATTCGATAAATAGGACAAGTTTAATATAAGAAACTGTTAATTTAAATTTATTCCTATATAAACGAATTTTATTTCAAAAGTTAAAAAAAATTATTCTAAGTTTTTTATAAATGTTTTCAATGTTATAGATCTCTATATTAGTATTACTTAAATTTTTTACGTATTAATTAATAATGCTTTTATATTAACTAGGGATGTACCGATATTTTTATCGTATCGGATAGGGGGTTATCGGACGATATTATAAAATTTTTCGATCAGATAAAATGGCGTTTTAATTTAAAAAAAATTTTATATTATAAAAATGAAATGTTATAAAATTTATCTAAATAACCATTTATTTTTATAAATAATCAAAAAGTATTTATTTCAAATTTCATAATATATTTGTTTATTACTAATTATATAAATAGATTAATTTAATTATAAATAAGTGAATTATCAATAAATATATTTTATATACTTTTTGATTCATGAATATAAACTATAGCAGATTATTAATAATATATTTAATAAAATGATTTATTTTGTTAAATCATAGATTTTAAACAATTAAAATGTATATGCATTAAAAATTAAAACGAATAGTAAGTTTACAAAATACAAAATCAGATATGATATCGGATCGGTACTTGGACGATATCAATTTAATATCGGACCAAAAAGTGGTAAAGTTATACCACTAGTATTAACCATAAAATGAATTATATATCAACTACACTCCTTATAAATAAATATTAAAATTGTGTAACTAATTTAAATTAACCAAAAAAATACAATGATATATATAAAAATATATATTGGAGTGATATTCGTCGAGGGGGGGGGGGAAGTGTTATGATATCGCAATCTAAATAATTCATTAGAATTCGCAATTTTTATATTATTAATAAAAAATTTTGGTTTATGAGTTACATTATATCTATAGAAAATTTATTCGTAATATTCATAACCCTGCATTTACAGTTAGCTCGTCGCAACACGCTAACTGTGAACGCATGGTAATATTTCCATCTTTAGTCATTTGATTATGTAAACGAACCTCTAATTTCTAATCACCACTCTAAAATTTTAACCCTTGGCCTCCTTCTATCATATCAAAATTAGCAAAAAAGGAAATCCAAATCCCCGTACACCCTTCCAAATTAAATAAAGATCCTGCATCATAACCCCCCCCCCCACACAAAATAGAAATAAAATATTATTTTTTTATCTCTCCCAAAATCCTACCTTCAGCCTCATCGTGGCGGGGGATGGCAACGTCTTTTGACGGCTAATGGAGGTCTAAAAGGTTCCTGTGATCTGGATCTAGAATAGGATCACCGTCTCCTCGACGGGATGTAAAAACCACTTAAAGGGGTTGATGTCAGGAAGGGCATCCGATTGTAAAAACCTTGCTACAAAATTTCCCTATGGCTACAACAAAGCATGGGCGGAGTACAACCCAAAGTACCCCGTGGGTCTCCTCATCCGCCTACAAAAAGAAGGATGGGAAACCTGGTGGAATCACGATGCATGAAAATGAAACTTATGACGGCCATCAACGATCTGATATGGAGAAACCAGTTTACTAGGGATAGAGTAAAAGTCGCGACAATGTTGGGAGTATGACGGGAAGAGCGGGAGAAGTGGTTGATGTATTATATAGAAGGCATATAGATGTGTGCTGCATACAGGAGACCAGATGGAAAGGAAATGGGACAAGAATGATTGGCAAGACTAGTGAAAAGTATAAATTCTTTTGGCAAGGAAGTAATGATGGTAAGGCTGGAGTTGGGGTATTGGTTGCGGAGAAATTGGTAGACAAAGTAGTTGAAGTGAGAAGGCTAGATAACCAGATAATGGTTATCAAGATGATTTTTGGTAGAAATCTATATAATATTATCTCGGCATATGTTCCTCAGGCTGGAATAAGTGAAGAAGAGAAAGATATATTTTGGGAGTCTATGGGGATTATCCTGGCTGGTGATCTGAATGGACATGTAGGAGCGAGTAGTTAAGGTTATGAAGGTATACATGGAGGGTACAGTTACGGCATGAGGAATCTGGAAGGGGAGAGGATTTTAGATTTTAGTGGTGCTATGGATATGATTGTCTGTAATACAATGTTTAAGAAAAAATCAAAGAAGCGTGTGACTTATAAGTCAGGTAGTACCAAAAGTGCGGTGGATTATTTGTTATTAAGGATATGTGATAGATGTAGAGTAAAAAATGTGAAAGTGATACCGAGAGAGGAATGTATTAATCAGCATCGACTAGTTATAGGAGATCTTACTTTTAAAGGCGCTAGGATCACTAAAAGAAAGTTTGTGCCACGACTGAAGGTCTAGAAATTGAAGGAGGAGAGTGCAAGGCGACAATTCAATATGACATTGGCGATAAAGGAGGCGGAGGTGGCACAAGCATCTGGGATAAACGACAAGTGGGAAGCCATGAAGAAAAGCCTGGGTGATGACAACTGAGGATAAGTGGATGGACAAAAGGACCGCCTAGACATAAGGAGACTTGGTGGTGAAACCCGGAGATATTGAAATGTGGATGAGAAACGCAAGTGTTTTAAAGAATGGTATAATAGGATAATAGTGATAACGATATTTACAAGATGGCGAAAAGAAATGCTAAGAAATTAATAGCGAAGGCGCAAGAAGAAAAAAGGCAGGAGTTTGCTAAAGAAATGGAATGTGCTGAAGGAATGGTAAATGTGGTTCGAATGGCAAAGCAGATGGCAAAAAAGAGGCAAGATGTGGTAGGTGTTAAATGTATGAAATATGGAAGGAAAAATGCTAATTGATAGTAATGGTATTATGAAAACCTGGAAGATCTACATGGAAGGAATTTTTAATGAAGAAATTGAATGGGATAATAATGTTAGTTGTGCAAAGGTAGAAGGTCCAGGGTGTAAATTTGGCAAGGATGAAATTAAGAGAGCAGTGAAAAAGATGAAAAAAGGGAAGGCATCGGGTTTAACGATGGTGGTATTAGAGATGTTTAAAGGTTCTGATGACTTAGGGATTGAATAGTTAATGAATTTGGCAAATCAAATTGTCACAGAAGGAACTATTCCCGAGGACTGGCGAAGAAGTATAATTATTCCAGTATACAAGGGAAAAGGTGATCCATTAGATTGCGGGTTTTACAGAGCTATTAAACTCTTGGAACATGCAATGAAGGTATGAGAGGGTGTTAGAGAAGCGGATAAGGGAACAAACTAAAATTAATGAAATGCAGTTTGGTTTTACATCGGGAAAAGGCATGACAGATGAATTTTTGTGGTGAGGCAAAGACAGGAGAAGTATCTTGCGACGGAAAAGAAACTATTATGCGTTTGTTGATTTAGAAAAAGCATTTGACAGGGTGCCGCGTGAAGTTACTAGATGGGCCTTGAGAGTGTGGAGAAATGGTTGGTTATCGCAGTGATGGCAGTGTATGTAGGAGCACAAACAGAAGTACAGATGGATTATGGTGATAGTGAAAGCTTTGAGGTGAAAGTAGGACTTCATCAAGGATCCGTGCTGAATCCATTATTATTTATCGTGAAGGATTTCCGGAGCTATTATATGCAGATGACGTTGTATTAACGGCAAACAGTGAGGAAGAATTGAGGGATAAAATTAGTATATGGAAGATGACTATGGAAGCAAAGGGTCTGAAAATGAATGCATCAAAGACAAAGGTGATGATTGGTGGGGAAAATCTAAAGATGGAGGAATCCGGTAAGTGGCCTTGTGGTGTATGTAAGAAAGGAGTTGCTAGAAATTCAATCCAATGCACCAGATGCCAAAAAAGGGTACATAATAGATGTAGCGGGAAAAAAGGAAGTTTGATGTTAGAAAGAATGACCTTTATTTGTAGAATATGTATGAAAGTGATACATAATAATAATAACGTAGAAAATGGTGGTCTGGATATTGGCAATGGTTAACCCTAGAAAAAGTGGATAAGTTTTGTTATTTGTGCGATATGCTAAACGCAGATGGTAGTGTAGATTCTGCAGTTGTTGCACGGGTCAGACATGCTTTGAAGAACTTCAGAGATATCGTCTTACAAATAAAAAAGTCTCTCTGAAGTTACAGGGGAAAGTTTATGTAAGCTGTGAGGAGTTGTTAAGTTTATGGCGGTGAAACATGGGCAATGAAAGCGATTCACGAAGCCAAATTAGAAAGAACAGAGTGATTAGATGGATGTGTGGGGTATCTCTGAGAGAGAGAAAAACTAGCAAGGAATTGCGAACAAGATTGGGTATAGAGATGATTAGAGTGGTAATGCGACGAAATAGACTAAGATGGTTGGATGACAAAAGATGACTGGGTAAAGAGATGCACCTTGATGAAAGTAGGAGGATCAAGAACTAGAGGAAGGCCCAAGTTGACGTGGACAAATGTGATAGCGGCGGATATGAGAAGCATGAATCTTACAAATTGATGCTCAGGACCGTCAAAAATGGAAAAGAAAAATCAGAGGAAAAACTGGCCTATCCAGGTAAACCTGGAAATCGGCATAAAAAGGAGAAGAAGAAGAAAATATTATTTTTTATAAGATTGTCGTTCAGATCACAATATCATTATTAGTTTATTTTTAACTTTTGAAATAAAATCTAAATTTAACTTATAGCTTTTATATTAATATTTAGTTTACAGAATTTTGAATAATATTTATCATCACTTTTATCTAATACTTACTTTTCTAATATACTTCTATTTCTGTCCGAAATATTATGTGGTTTCAATACCTATATAATATCTTTACAATTTCAAATCATATTAATTGTGTTAAGTTTTAAGTAATTATAGGAAGAAATTCTTGCATTAGAATAGAAAAGAGAAAATTTCGAGAAAAAAATGATGAAAAATCTCGAACCATATGGCGATAAAAATACTGATCAATAGTGGCCATATTTGGCGCCAGTGATATTCAACCAAAGCTTTAAGGTAACCGAAATGTAGAGGGCGGTTCTTTGGGCGATCAAATACAGAAGTATTAATATTTGCACCGTAGTAAAATACTCAAAATATGGTAAGAGTGAGTATAAAATGTATAATAATTTACTAGCGCAAAGAAGGCAAATTTTTGTACAAAGTTTTGTAATTATATTAATTCAGATGCAAATCTGCCTGATTATAAATAACATTAAATTTTTTTTTCAAACCTGTGTGGACAATATAAAAGTAGTTAATTTTATATTAATTTATTTAAAAAAATGTAATAATGAATATTTTATTTCAAAGGTAAAAATAAATATAATGACCTTGCGATATAAACCACACTATATAAAAAATTCATGCATCATTATAAAATTGAAAATGATTGAAATTATAAACTATTAATAAATTTTCAATAAATATAATGTAACTCATAAACCAAAAAAATTGCGAAATTCAAATTTACCCCCAAAAATGTAACATCAATTATTCAAATTGCGATATCATAACAAAGGTGACACGACTTACAAAAATAAATACAAATTAATTAATTACACTGTTTGTATTAGTCTCGAATTTTAGAAACAAATATTGATTAATATTATTCCTATTTGTCCGATTAATAAAATGTTTTTCGCCTGGAAGTTAAACTTTTTTAAATATATTCAAAAATAATAAAAATGAAATATCAAATTTTTTTAAAAAAAGATTAATATAAAAATAAAAATTCCACAAGGAATATGTTGAAACTTTATTACATTCAAGTGTTTATAATGATGAAAATATCAGCGGCTTTTATCCATCTTGCATTCAAATTAAATTGGGAATGGATAAAAAATGCATAAAATATAGAACTAAAATGCTAATTAATTAATTTTTTTAAGAAAACAAATTCCTGATGCAAAATTAGCTACTAGTTCACGGGAACTCTGCAATGATTTGGAAGATTTTTTTGGATTCTATAAAATTGATCATCAGGAGGATAATATTGGACAAATATATGGAGTGACAATCCATTACTTGAAGCAGCTAGCTCTTTTAAAAATTAGTAGCGTGAGCGGGAGCTAGCTACTTTTAAAAAGGAGCGTTAACAACTCTGATACCAATAATTCGTTTAAGACACAAGAAATAGAGAGTACAGGGACGTCACTAGCTTTAACAATCTCAGGGGCTCAATTTTCAAAATTACGTTTTTTTAGCTAACATTTTCCAAAATTTGTTTTTTTTATAGCTAGTTTACCTATTTTTTTTAGTGGTATAAAAAAAATACAAAATATTGAGAGGAACTCTTCAAATTTAGGGGGCTCGAGCCCCAGCGCCCCAGGCTACTGAGATTCGGTACAATGCAATAGGTCCCAATTCTGGCCTCAAATAAACGAAACCTGATTATAAACTAGTGTATATAATAACACAAAAAAAAATTTTTTGGCGGTCCAGGTCCAATAAACCTCGAACAAAAAGGCCGAATTAAAACTAGTATAGAACTCACGGTGGAAGTCCTGGATTTGAGGAACCAATCGAATCTGAATTGAGGCGCGTTGCGGGCACAGGTGCGTAATTCGTCATACACATTTTCTCGGTCGAACCCCAACTTATGCAACATGCAAACCAAAAATCGGTCCTCCTCTTCGGTGTAATTCTTTCCCTTGTTGGTACCATAACAAATACGAAGTTGGTGGAAGGGAGCCTTGTAACGTGACATCTTTCATTTTTTTTGTTAATTAGGAGGGAGGGGAAAAGAAAATAATATTAAGTGATATTTTATTATCTTACTTATTCAAATTTCAACAATTGGTTAAACTAAAGAAAAATATTTTATATCATCGTCACAAAATGATTGCTACAATTACAAGGAAATATGAGAAAGCAGTATGCACTAGGGCTGTCTATGTTTACAATATCAATACAATCCAATAAAAATCAGATAGTGTATTGGTTTTTGAAAATCAATACCAGTCGGTGCCAATACCATTAGCTAATAAATCTATTCATATTAATATATTGGTTTAAATATCAATTGTTCTAAAACTTATGAATACAAATATTTTAAAAATTACGATATTTTCGAAAGTTTAAATAATATCTAGATCTCTTATCTCCATATATATTTATAGCATTTGTGATAGCACTAATTTTGTATCTTTGGAAATATATTCATATCAATTATTTACTTCTAATATTCGAATATCGTTGAAGTCAAAGATATAGAGAATGAAAAAAGTTTATAATGAACAAAGAAAATCATCCAACTTAAACCCTTTTTGAAAATTATGATTATTTTAAACACAATCAAGAGTTTTTATAATGAAAAAAAAATTATCATTATTCTTCTCAAAGTTGCATAGGTAAGAATTTAAACCAATACGAATATTAATGGCTTACAAAGCAATATAGTGAAAATATTGTTTGTTTAAACAAATATAATGTTAGTCCTAATAAGTATCATAGATTAAGCATGGGAAATTTTTTTTATTTGAATTTTAAAAATAAAGATCTAAAATAATCAAATAATTTTTGTTTTGAAGTTATAAAACTAAATATATCGAATTTGTCTTATTTAATTTATTTCAAACTACAATATTATTGATATAAGATTTAAGTCGATTTTTAAAGGGCGGAAAATATAGAAATTAGTTTACCGTCGACTAATTCTAAACGTTTACATTTATAGACCAACTCTATCCCACCCCAGCAAAAAAAAGGAAAATGGAATTAGCCAACAAAAATAAGGAATGAATATGAATAAGTTGATGACATGAAGATAAAAATTTGCGGATGATTATTATGGACGGTTCACTGCCCGAAAGAAAATGTTTTATTAGAAGGTATAGATTAGCAATCTTAACTTATTTTTAAAATGCATGACAAATCTAATTTAAAAGAGAAAAAAACTTTAGCGTCAAGGGCCTTTTTGATAGAGATTCTCCGTTGAATCCTGGCTTCCCCTTTCTCGATTTGTGCCATAATCTTTTCGATATCTTGGAGCTCGTTGCATCTATCCCAAAACACTGCGGCATATTTCATCACTTCTTCCGGAGTTTTACCTAAATGTTCATACAAAATTTACAAATATTTCAAGTTTCATTTACTTAAAATTTCTACATTTATTAGTGAAGAATGACTTTTGATAATATAACCAATTTGCATATTTTGATAATATAACTAATTTGCATATGTTTTGCAAGTTAAAGGCAATAAGGAATGGAAAGATTTTGTAAATACGATTTTCAACTGATATTGTTATATTACTAGGATTCAAAAAAAAGAACTTAATCGTCATCATTTTATTAAAAAATCCTTATTGAACCAATCCCGAAATTCGAATATAAACTAACCTCTTCCCTACCCCTCCAATTTTATTCAAATGACAATAGTCGTACAAACTACGAAGATGCAATTACCAGGCTATAAGGTTTTAACCTGGGACATGGAACGGAACTTTGAGTATATTAATGGAACGATTCCCTAACTTTCCCGAAACGTTCTTAAAAATATAAATCCATCTAGTAAGTGCATATATTAAGTTCTTTTTATCTTTTTTTTATAATAATAAATTAATTATATTAAACTATACAATGCTAAAAAGGGTGATATTCTGTCAACTATAAAAAAATTCGAGTGGATGTCTAGATAAATAAAAAAATTTGTTAGAATAATACTTTATTTCAATTAAGTTTTTTTTAAATCGCTAAAATGGAGATGTCTTATATATCGTCAACTGAATATTATAGTGTTCTATTGTGCAAAGTGTTAAAATATAATTTAGAAAGATCATTTATTTGTATTACATTCATTGTGATATCCTATCTAAAATACAAGAAATATATTTTTTAAATGCTCTCCTAAACAATTTTTAAAAAATGGATATAAAACACTCTAATAATCAGCCAGATATATATAATAAATTGGGAATATTTAAGAAATCTCCCTCCTATTTGGCGATTTTTTTAAAAAAAAACTTAATTGAAATATAAGTATTACTTTCCCTGCTCCTATCAATATTATCCTTGTTCCAGTAGATATGATAAATAATTCTTAGTTTTTTCGCTATTTTTGAAATTCGCGTTTTCTCATACAAAGAAATATTGCAGGGTAAGTTTATTTTATTCATTATCTACAAAAATATCCAAAAGTAAAACAGTAAATAACGATTTTGATTGACAGCACATTAAATAATGTTTTCTATTTAGTTACTGATGGTGTGTAATTTTTTTTACAATTGAAAATGGTCTGCTTTTAGAAAATAGTAAAATTTTAAACAAAAAATTTGATTATATGCGATTGATACATTCGTAAAATTTATCCCATCTATACCAGAAGACATTACATATTTTCTATACTATAAACATAAAAAGAATTTTTCTTTTTTAACTTTTCCTTCTCTATGAGTGGCATAATGTTTATAGAGGAATCGATCTCTGTAAAATTGCTGAAGGGAAGGTGAGAACCCTGTATTAATAAGCAAGTGATTATAAAAAACCGCAGTTTCGAATTAGAAACATTATAACCGGGAATAGTGAGATTCAATCCACAGCATTTAACAGCCGAATATATTTTTAGAATCTGTTTACGAGATCAATTTTTCTCTATTAATATTAATTTGAATTATTGATTTTAATAAAGAAAAATTGATATCACTAAAAAAATTTTTAAATCGTTCAGTTGTTAAATTATGTTGGATAGGATCCCACTATGAATTCAGCCTCAGAGTTGTTAAAGTAGCGCGCTATCTTTTGGTAGCTATATCTAATAGCCGCTACTTTTTTTTAAATTATTTAATTTTTTAGCGCGCTACTTTTAAAAAATATAATGAATGTAACATGAAAATTTAAATATAATATCATAATTAATTATAATTTTTATAATTTATTATTTAATTTTGAAATTTAAATATATTTTCAATTTTTAATTTATATTTTCAATCTGTGTTAATAATCTAAAATGGCATCGCCCATGGATATCCAAATCCTTGAAAGTGATACAGACATGGAAGATTCAATGGAAGAAAATGTACTTAATAGCTCTAATAACGATTTTCCATTCCCTAGATTTGAAAATTTTTTTAAAATTATTAAAACAAAATCTGGATTCAAATTCCTGTGCTTAAACTGTAAAAAAAATATATCATCAAATCAATCGAGTAGCTATAACCTGAAGAAACACCTAAAGGTAAATTGTTATTTTTACATTATAATATAATTAATTTTATTAGACTGTTCACGCCAATTGCTATAAGGAAATAGAAAAACATATAAAAAATTTTGGTATAAGAGAATTTTCATTCAAAAAGACAAATACTATCCAAACCAAATTAATTGATAATAAAAATGCCAATATTTCACAAAAATTGGTTGATAAAGTAATTGTTGATTTTATTATAGACACAGTTCAGCCATTGTCCTTAATTGATAATCCATCATTTAATATGATGATTAAAACTTTATCCCCTGGCACAACAGTTTTATGTCGCCAGACACTTATGAATAAAATAGCCGACAACTTCAAAGTGATGAAAGATGTTCTAATAGTAGAGTTATCAGATATATCTTATGTATGTACACCGGCAGATAGTTGGACACATAACAGAAGGTAAAAACTTATTTATATTTATAAATTGATCTGATTAAATATTTTTAGAGCTTCCTTGCCCTCAAGTGCTAGTGTCGAGAGATTATTTAGCAAAGCAAAGCTTATACTTTCTGATCATCGCTATATTATTATTAAAATGCAACAAATTAAAATAAATATTTATTTATATTGCTTATTTTTTTATAATCTAAACTAACTATATTTTTATATTTATAAATGTTGATTTTTATATATTATTTATTATACATTTACATTATAAGCAAAAAAAAATAAAATAAATTTGTTTCATTTGTTTCTAAAATTTTTTTTATAAAAAGTAGCTAATAGCGCGCTACTTTTTTTGCTATAGCGGTAGCGCGCTACTTTTAAAAATAGCGTTTAACAACTCTGTTCAGCCTGAATCTAGAAACCGCATCCAGGGTCCCTCTTATTTCCAGGAACTGAAACCACTTTCTAAATTCAAAAGGAAATCGAACCAGTTCTAATAAAAGTATAAATAATTTATATGTATCTTGTTCAAAACTTTGTGTCATTCATTTTAGAATATAAAAAAAATTAAAAACTCATAAATATATATAAATATTATAGGGTAGTGTTAAATATTTATAGTATACATCTATTACTATAAAACAAGGAAATTATTCGGAATTAATACTATCAGCAAGCAGACGATGAAGGATTTATTGTGCAAAGTTGTACATTTGCTCAAAATAAAAAGTCGATCTTTGAAGATCTTTAATTTTTTAAAAATTTTGTGTAACGATCTTCAAAGATCTTCATGATATTTATATTTTTACCCCTTTATTAAAAGCCCAGATGTTTTTCAATTTTATTAATATAATATTTCTTTTATGTTTATACCTCTCCTCCTGACTTGATAAAAATTGAAAAACATCTGGGCTTTTAATAAAGGGGTAAAAAAATAAATATCATGAAGATCTTTGAAGATCGTTACACAAAATTTTTAAAAAATAAAAGATCTTCAAATTTTACGATCTTCAAAAATCTTGCTCAAATATTTGAGCTAGATCTCGCTCAAAAATCTTCAAAGAAGATCTTTTGTACAACTCTGTGCAAAAGTTCGAAATATCATAAAAATATATATTTAACCCTCCACATCGCGGGATATATTCTCTAGGTCATCTCTGCCCCACTTCTCGTTAGCCTTCACAAACTGGTTGAAATCACGTTTGGTCCATCCGGTAAAACCTTTCAGGTATAATATAATATTTACATACATAAATAATTTTATGAAAAGTTTTATTATACGCTGATAGTTTACCTTCTTTTTAAATTCAATAATTATTATAAATAAAAAAAACATTAACAAATATATGGAAATATCATCAAATAGTTTATATATTCGTGATATATTTTAGTATAAATACCTATAATTTTAAAAAGTCGCAATAAAAAAATTTATGAAAATTGGAGGATGCATTATTCATAGTAAAAATTTAAGACTTGTAGAGGTCGAAATTTTATGATTGTTTAAATCCAGCATAATTTTTTCAATGAGCTTAATTGTATTTTGTAAATTGAAAATATTGCAAATGAAGGTTAAAATGATCCATATATGATATTCCAGCAGATTAATTGATGTAATTCAATTTATTTTTAAAAATTTGGTTTGGCCTCAGTTTTGTGATTCTCAGGCTTGGTTTGTAAATTTATTAATATTTAAGTTAGGGTATGATTATTTAAAATCATACCATTTATCAGAGACTGACAAAAAAAGAAATCTTTTTTTTAAATCCATAATTGGACTTACCTTTCGTAGCTAAAAGTTTATCTTTCTCAACGGTCTCCGCCTCCGTAAGTGGAAGGGCAGTATCAACCTTGGCTTGCTCGGCGGCACGGAGACGTTCGAGGGCGGCGGTGGGTACGGTTCCAGTGGATGTAGTAGTTAATAATAAGGTGGCGGCATCTTTGGGGACCCTGTAGCCGATGGAGTGACGGTAGGAGTATATCTCCTTGTCAAGCAGTTCAAAGAGGCGGGCCGGGAAAAATTGGAAATCCTGCACATTGGGTTGCTTAGGGGGTCGAGGAGCCTTGATTTTTAATAAGTATTGTATAAGTAATTATGCCCTAGTTAGAAAAAATTTGGGAAAAACGAAACTGTGAATGAAATCTTATAAATTATTTATTTTATCTTAAAATATTGGCCTTTTATGACAATTCAATTAGAAGTTGGCGCGGGCTTAATTTTTTATTAACTGCTCGCCCACTCATGGTGGCAATAAAAAAAATCACGCTCTTTCACACTTACTACTAAAAAAAATTTGGCCCGATCCGCCTGCTCATGAAAGACAATATTTTGATTACTCCCGTCAAGTTAGAAAATTCACGGTGTTTTTAATTTTTCAAAACTTTATTGCTATATTTTTACCCTTTTTTGAATTTATTCTATCATAGTGTTTATTTTTCTAATTCCATAATAACACAAAATAAAAATGACGTTCTTTTATTTCAATTGTGTTAGCCTTTCTTCTAATAAGCGATTGAATATAGAAAATAACTAGTGATGCAAATTTCCCGAGAAATTATAATTGAGGAAAAAACAGAAAAATAGGAAAACTACGGGAAATTTCCTTTAAAAAATTATTTTACAGGTCAATATCGATTTTTTTTTCATGGTTTATCAAAAATATATGGACAATATATTATTTAAACAAGTAAGATATAATTTCAATTATTTAATATTTTTATCTTCGTTTGAAGATAAAAACGATTCCAGATCTCTAAAATCTCTAAATATAGGTATCCAGAAATCCGGTTTAATAACATGTAATCCTTTATCATATTGTCTTTAAAATTAAATCCGCAATATCTTGGTTCAAGTATATATTTCCGTTTTTTAAAGTTCGATCTCTATAATTTTGTCCCGTAAGAGATCTCCCTGATATAAATAAATGCTTAAGGAACGTCAGATAAATTTGATATGTCCGCTTCCACTACCTTTATTTGTGTAGAAAAGGCTTTATAAAATTGCATAGCTGTATAAAATCATTTTTAAAAAATTTCCTTATCCAATAAGTCTCTTTAAAAATACTTATCCTCAAAATATTTTTATTTTTTAACAAACCATTAATTATCATAACAATACTTCAATGAGTTGGGTTAGGCAACTTTAAGAAAACAATCCTTTTTTTTATCTTTAAATAGTTGTTTTACCTTAAACGTAAAAAAGAATGTTGAACTTTACATATTTTATAATAGTTTGGGCTTTTGCTACTAAAATTTAAGTTAGACAATCTTTAAACGCAAATTATGTCCATGGACTTCAGACCTAATGCATTCGATAATTGATTAATTATTTCTCACAAGTATCCATGATTTCTTTGTTACTTGCATTATCCTTTATCATGATATAATTTTTGGTTTCCTATTTCTTCAATTACTTTAATAAATTCAGTAGATATATATTCTCCCTTATACCAATCGGTCCCTGTTTAAATTAATTTATAGAAATAGGGACTTGGGATTGCTATAATAAAATTTATAATATATTCCATTCTTTGTCCACCCATCATTAATAAGGGTCAAATTTATAATTTATCTTATCTTTCGGTGACTATAATAAATTCTTTCATATTCACTGTTTTACAAATTTTTACTTTTAAAGATTGAAATAATCATTTCTAAATTACGTTGCATTATGGAGAATGGATAATTTAACATAAAAATGCCTGTTGCAAAATATTCAATATATTTTCAGATTTTAAATCATTATTAGTTGAATCAAAATTAAAAGAGGAAGTTGACCTACCTTACCCTTATCTCTTTAAATTTTAATCCTAGCTCTTATACTTATTTCAGCTATTATTAAATTAAATATATTTCAGTAAATAAAAAAATTTCCTATCGAAGATACTTACTAGAGTGGGCTAATATTATATTATCAAAAATGAACTTACATTACATACAAAAACAAAACATAATTATGATATATGAACCAAGAAGAAAAAATATTTTTCTAAAAATTTTTTTTTAAATTGGGGAAACTATAGGGGAAATTTCCCCTATGTTACATATGTGTGCAGGATGAATTAGAAAAGTTATAAATGATAATTGAAAATGAAGCCTATTTAAATTTAATTTATTTATTACTAAATTTCCATTTTATTATTTTTCATTCAAATGAAATTTATAAGCCGGAAAAAATTGTTGTTTTTAAAAAGAACTAAATTAAATTATAGAATATATATAATTATAAAATTGCAAATTTATATTCATAAAAAACAATTTTAAAAATTAAAATTTTTGTGATTCACGCCTGGCAAAATTTTTGTGAAGGCCCATTCACGCCTAATAATTATAATTTTACACACTCACGCCGTGACCCATCGTGTCAAGCATAATTTCACAGTCTGCACCCACTTTTAAATTAAATATCAAAATCATCTTTTGGTGATGAGGAATCTAAATGTTTTCCCTTTTTCGGTTATATTGAGAAATGTTTATTTCCGATATAATTGGATATTGATAATATCTTATCATCGCATATATAAAAAAAGGATTATTCCAGAAAGTTTCATAGGCATGGATAAATTATGCAAAACTTAAATATTAAACCATAAAATTTTATTCACATATGAAATTATAAAAAGCTTATCCCTAAATGTAAATTTTCGCAAGAAATTTGGGGTTTCCCCGATATTTTACAGCTCTATTAAATAAATATTAGCAGTAAAATATGCAGGTTTATATTTATAGATTATACCTTCGGCGCTTTTGGTTCGCCCACCCTTAGGGCCTCTCTAAAGTATGCATCGACAGCGTAGTTAGCCTTCCTTTCTCTTTTAGGAGGTTCGATCCAGCCTAGGGGTCCTAAACACATATTAGTATATATTTAAAATTAGAGAACATCGAGTGATGTTTTAAAACAAAATTTCTGTAGTAGTGAAAAAGTGGTTTTTCTTACCAAGAGTTCCGTGGCTCTGTTTTTCGCGGTAATCGCGCCCTTCAAAGCGGTAAACACTGTCCGTAGCGGGATCTCCATCAAAAGCAGTCGCCGATGCCGTCAAGGCGGTAGATGATGGTGGCGGAGCGTCAAGTGTAAAATTTCGGAGCGAACTCTCCCCCATTGTAGCCAACTTCGCATTTATCTCCTCGGTCTGTCAAATAATGTTTAAAAAATATATAACGTTATAGCGAGGTATAAGATAATTCATGATTTGTCGGGTACATTATTTTGGTTATAGTTTAACCTAACAGAAAATAGTAGTGAAAAAACCTTTCTTTGGCCTTTGGCTAATATGATATCGATGTCTTCCTCAGTTATATCGCCTTCCTTGGAGGCGAATATATGGCTGGCCCCGTGCCGGATCATTCCCAGCATTTCGTCTTTGTTAAGAGCGTTTTTCTGTTCCACCAATCGGCCTATATCAAGTTAAACGTGTGTTTTTATAAAATATGCGAAATAACACCTTTTCTTTAAAATTTATATAAATTTAAAGCTAACTTTAAATTCAAATATTTTTTTCTTTCTTTCATTCATAGGAAGATTAGACAAGGATTACAACCAAATCTTTATCATATTTTACAAAACAAGACATTATATTTTAATTTTAAGGTTAAATCATATAAATCATTTATTATTAATCATTAATATTTATTAATTATTAAAAATTTACATAATAATATAATATAAATTGTCACGAATCCTTAAAAATGGATCCGTTTTTTATATGAAAAGGAAACATTTTATGGTATAAATTAAATATAAAGAACAAATTATAAAATATAATACAACCACCCTGACAGCTAAAAAAAATATATATTAACAGGCCAATAAATATGGCAATCTAATCTATTTTACCTACAATCCTTTCCCATCAACCCATTATATCCAAAAATATAAAAGCATAATTACCTTGTTGAATGACGATATTGTCGAGCCTCAATTTCATTTCGGCCCTTTCAACTATCCTCTCTTCGACAGTGTTTTCTAGGATGAACCTGAAAACGCTAACTTGCTTGAGTTGCCCGATTCTGTGAGCCCGATCCTGGATTAGTGCATTGATTTTATTTATAATTCACTATTTTTAAAAATTTGTAATATTTAGTTCAAAAATAATTTTCATGCAGAGATACACCGATATCGATACTCGTGATATTGGGAAATACTTTCTATTTTAACTGATACTAATAATAATCAACCCTTATAAAAAAAATTAAATAGGCCTATTAAGCTATGAATTGATGAATTTAAAAAAATCAACAAATTTGTAAACAAATCAGAAAAAATAAAATATTAGGCTCCATCACACATGTTAATTGAATGCCTAATATTTTATAATTAAGTAATAAGAATAAAGAAAAGATTGTTATTCTTTTAGAATTTATTCTTATTATTGTTTTTGCAGAATTAACTTTATAATAAAGAATAAGCATACAAGAAAATAAATTACGATTACAATCTTTATTAAAATTCAAAAATATTATTTATGGCTTACTTTAAAATCGAAATACATTTTCGTGGAAGTAGAGATTGACAAAAATTTTATAATATATTTTCTTCCATATTTTTTTCTACATATTTTATTTTAAGGAAACTTGGTATCAGCTCTATTGGTAAAAAAAAATAAGTATCGATACATATCTGCTTGTATACAAAGAAAAACTCAAGACAACAAAGTATAATGTTGTAAATGATTAGAATTTCTAATCTACTCAATGATTTCAAACAAATTATATGGGACGTAAGAGAAAATTTATCCAGAAATGGACTGATATATAAATTCTGTTCTCTTGTTACGTATTTGTGCATTTTCCTTTATCATTGTCTTTATTAAATCTGTAATATATTGGGGTATATGAGCAGGGTAATCTATGTCCCGGCAACAAAAAATTTCATGATTTTTATAAATTGTACGATTTCAATAATTTCGTGCCATAAGAGATTTCCCTGATATGAATAAAGCTTGATTTTAAAAACTTCAATATCAAGAAGATTAGGTCTCCTATCTCTATAAAAATTCGGAGTATTGTAGCAAAATATCTATATTTTTTACAGACCATTAATTATCACAACTATAGAGTCCAAATAGTTAGGCGGGATAGACAACTTTAAGGAAATATTATTATTTTTATCTTTAAGTAGTTGTTTATCCATAAATGTATAAATGAATGTTGATATTACATATTTTATAATAATTTGGACTTAAAATTTATATTAGAAATATTTTATTTGCTAGATCCTTTAAAAGCAAATTAAGTCCTTCAGATGTTGACCCAATGCAGTTGATAATTGGATATTTAATTCTCATAAGTATCCAGGCTTTTTTCATTATTTGCATTATTTACTATAATGTTAATTTTTGTGTTTCCTATTTCTACAATTATTTTAGTAAATTCACTAGGTCCCTGTTTCAATTAATTCATAGAAAATAGGACTAGGGATTGCTATAATAAATAATATAATACATTCGACTCTTATATTTGTCTACCCATCATCTTAGCTTTCGGTTACTATATTTTTAATCCTCTCATATTCACTTTAAAAAAATCTTACTAAGTAAATATCTTGTAAGAACCTAAAATCTATTTTTAAAGATTGAAATAATCTCTTCTAAATAAACGTTGCATTATAGAAAATGAACAATTTCACATAAAAATGGTGTTGCGAAATTATCAATATATTTCATAAACTATTTTTTCAAAAATTTATATTATTATTAGTTCAATTAAAATTAGAAGAGGAAGTTTGCCTTATCCTATATCTCTTTAACCTTAAATCCTACTCCTCATTCTTATTTAAGTTATTATTAAATATTTTATATATTTCCGTCAATCAAAATTTTCCTTCTTATGAACATTACTAGAGTTGAGATATTATATTATTATCTTATCGAAAATGAACGTACATACAAAAACAAAATACAAATATGATATATGAACTAATAAGAAAAAATCCAAATTATTTGATCAAAAAAACTTAAAATAAATATTGGGGAAACTATAGGAGAAATTTCAGGAGATATCCCCTACATTACATACCTACAGTTAATATTATTTTTAGGTAACTCAATAAAACTCGGAGAAATTTTTAATATTATTTTTTTTAAATATATTTTTTATTTAAAAACAATAAATATGAGATCGTGTGGATATGGGTGGAAATTTTTTGATGTAATAATAATTCAAAGTTTCATTACTCAAAAGTTTTAAGAATTCCATATTTTTTTTCTTGTGAAAATTTTTAAAATTCTTTAATTTTACATTAAAAATGGAAAAAGTGTGTGCTATATTAAATGCTATTAAATTAAGACTATAATTTTTTTTGTAAAAATTATCAATTCTTTAATTTTACATTAAAAATAGAGTATATTATTTAAAAATTTTAAAAAAGCGTGTGCCATATTCGATGCTACTAAGTTAGGACCATTAAATCAAATACTAGGTAATTAAGCAATTTATTTTAATAAACATAATATATAAACTAATAATATATAGATATATATATAATTTTAAGGAAAAACATAAATAGTTTTATATAAATTCATATCATTTAAAAATTTAATTAATTTACTTAAATTTGACATATTTTTAATATTACGAAAATAAGAATATTCACATATACATATACATATATAGATGGGAGAAGACTTTCTTCCAGTAAAAAAAATATTTAAAAAAAATTCTTATTGCACCAAAATCTAAAATTATGCCAATTGAACGAAAAAAGTATGCAATTCTTAAAACTTTTGAATAATGAAACTTTGATTTATTAAATCAAAAAATTTCCACCAATATCCAGATGATCACATATTTATTATATTTTTAATAAAAAAAATTTTTAAAACATTTTTTAAAAAAAATTTAAAAAAAATAATATTAAAAATTTCCCCGAGTTAAAGTGGTTACCTATTTTTATTATAAGATTTGTCCATTACTTCTCTAAAAATTATTTTATAAGTGGTAGATTTTTCATATTTTTTCTTAATTTGTTTTATTCTTTGTGAGCTTTGGCATCTTATTTGATGAAGGTGGGTCATATTTTAATTATCATCTTGATAATCTATTATCCTAAAGAGATAATATATTAATTCTGTTCTTAATTTTATTATTTATTAATACAAAATGCAATATATATTTTTACCATAGCCTGTAAATCGACTTGAGGATTCCAATCGGAATCGAACAAGATGACGACATTAGCTGAGGCCAGATTGATGCCAAGCCCTCCGGCTCTGGTGCTCAACATAAAGAGAAATTTGGGGCTGTCTGGCCGATTGAACTCCGTTATAGAAGCCTTAATTAGAGATACAAAAATATGTATTATTTGTTTTGAGAATCAATTATATAGACATTTTGGAATTACAAATCCATCGAAAAAAAATTGATTAAAATTTCTCCCTTTTTACTGCTCTGTCCTCGTGAGGGGTGTTCCCATCCAAGCGGCAGTATTGATAACCCTTCCAGTAGCAATAATCTTCCAAAATGTCCAACATTCTCGTCATCTGACTGAATATGAGAACGCGAGAACCTTTCATAGGTGAAGAAAACATGGATACAATATAAAAAATATAAGAAATAAATTAAATCAAGAAAACACAAATTGAATTTTCAAAAATGATAACAATAATATAATTGTCATCTGATGTTGTTCTTATAACATAATCTGCCAAAATATAGATAATTTTTTGAGATAAGTTCAAGATTAAAAAGTAAGATCGTCAAAATGATTAATTTTATTATGTTATGGGCTTAATAAATGTTATTTCACTTAGTGGTGTAACTAGGGAGGGTGGTGTGATGGGTGGGATATTTTCTTCTCAAAACTGAAATTTTTTTCCATCCAAATTAAAAACATAGTTTAGTTTATCAAAAAGATTTTTTAAAGATATCACTTTCTTAAAAGATTAATCATTAATAACAAGTAAAATTAATATAAATTTCAAAAATACGACATAATATTTTTATAAATAATTTAAGATACTAATTGTTTTTTGCATTTTCTTAATTAGAAGGAGGGGGAGACAGTTTTAAAATGTGTCCCACAATATAAGTTTCGTCCCTCCAGGTGTGGTGAAAAAATGTAAAATTGTCTGGGAAAACCTAATAGATAGGAATCGAAGGTGTGAAAATGACTGAGGAATAACGATTAATATAAATTTACATATAAATAATAGACGCTATATTTTTAAAAAAATAAAACCTTCGGCTCGCAATTTAGGCAATAATTTATCCAAGACCACCATTTTACCACTGTTATAAACCAAATGTTCTTCTGTCGTGTATGGCGGACCTGTTATAATAACATATATTAAATATTTATTAATTATGATTAGTTCCCTAACGTTAAAATGTTTTTAAAAGTGTTTAACCAGTTAAGTAAACTGTCAAGGAGTAGGCGTGGAAGGTAAAAAGGAATTAACGTCCCTTATTTTCTATAAATTATCCTCGAGAAAATTTTTTTATCCAAGATTCGAAAAATATACTCAATTCATCAATAAAAAAGAATAAATCGAATTTTATAATATTTATTATAATTCACAAAATTGAAAATGAAAATAAATATTCAGAACTGAATTATTTCGGGCTCAAGTGATAGTAAATTTTGTCTGGACTGGATCATAGGATCTAATTAGACATGGACTAATAATTTTTATAGGGATTTAAAGGGAACTTAGAACACAGTGTGATGTTAAGCTAGTTAGGCGATAATAAATGCCTAGAGCCGATGAAGGGGGAGGTGTAGACTAATAATAAAATATATAAATATGAACCAGGCTCAGCTCCGTCGAATAAGTAGGGATGGTTAGCGCATTTGCGAAGTTGCATGAGGATATTCAAGAGTCTCATTTTGTCCGACTTACCCGCTCCATTGACTATGTCTATGTCTTTCATCAGGATTTTGGTATACCTTTTTTTAGACGTTTTGTTTCAATTTTTGTGTTATTTTTTAAATTTTTTAAAATTAAATTAAGTTGAAATTATAGAAAATATTTTAAAATTATATTCTCATTTCACACGTTTTTATATTGTTGTTACTTACTTTGATATTAGGTAATCAATAATTATGATTACCTTCGAGGTAAATGAATGAGAATTCAATATTTTTTTAGAAAATCCTATTTAAATGTATTATAGAATTATATCAAGTTGAAATGAGAATGCTAAAAAATGAAAATTTTAAGCTAATAATTATTTCCCTTTGTTTCAATCCATAAAAAATCAATGAAATTTCGAAGTATCAGATTCTTCAAAATTCTTAACATAATTTTTATTTGTCATTTTAAATCTTTTTTTGCTTTCATCCCATCTTATCTATTCTTCAAACATAATAAAATTTAAAATATGTCTATAATAACAGACCTGAAGGCTAGGATCCGTAAATAAGGCCTGGACCAAAGTGGAATATAAAATGGATTTCATAAATCCTCATTAAATAAATTAAAAAGCTGGGATTAGGAGTAAAAATATTCCCGGATAATAACCTAATTCTTTTAAAAATTATAACAATATTAACTAGTCAGAAAAAACATATAATGGGATAATTTAACATTCATTTTCTTTCCATAAATTTTTTTTTTCGATTTCCCTTGGAAATAATTTACAAAATACAAGCCAAAATTATATAAAATGATAAAATTAAATTCCGATTTGGGCCACGTCAAACGATTAAATATTCGGAAGTCGGGTTTAAAAATAAGGCAGTATTTTTTATATCCGGCGACGCGGATTGGGCCTAAAAACGTGGCCTCTGCAGGTCTCTGGTATTAATGTATAAAAATGTGATGTAAAGATTTACATACCAATCCCTCTGCATTTTACTGAGACCTATAAAAATTTTGCTTTCTTTTTTGGGTGGCAATTTTTTTTCGACTTCTGACTTGAGCCTTCGTAATAAGAAAGGCTTCAAAACCTATAAAGACAATAAAAAAAATAAATTCGAATAACGATGCTTAATATTATAAGGTTCTATCTCTATATTCAGTGACCCCAATCATAACACCCAACCACTTCTTATTTCTCAATTGTAATGTCATGCATTTGGGTAAAACACCCCTTCCCCCAACTATTATCATTGGAGCCATTTTAAATAGATTACCAGGGGGGTGGGCTTTTCCCAGAAACTAATTTAAAAATACTAATGAATTCCATATAAGATAGATAAATGTACATGTATAATCAAAGGAATTTTAACTTAATACTTTAAATAGTAATGCTGTTTATAAATTCATCAAAAAAAATGATTTTGCTTACAGCGTGTAATCTTTCGACCAGAGCTGAATCACCAAAGCAGGAGGTTGTATCGAACCAAGAATCAAAATCCTAATATATGATAATATTGTTTTTAATTAAAGTTTTACACATATAAGTGATAATAAAAACGAAATAAAAAATATTGGTTTATTATGTTTTTTGATTTCTTTTTGAAAATTCAAAATAATTGTTTTGGTCTGAGCTCTAAAATGTGGTGCATTTAGTTATTAACTTACTTCACTTGAATCAAAAACGTCAGGTAGCAAGAAATTCAACAGTGCCCACAGCTCATGTAAGTTATTTTGAAGGGGCGTCCCCGTCAGAAGTAAACGGTTGGCGGATTTGAAACCTCTGACTATATCAGAAAGCTTGTTTTTTATAAAAAAAATATATTTATTTAAAATAAGAAGTGGGAGACAAATAAAATGATTAATTTATTTTATATGGTATATTTTAGAGTTTTCTGCTTTGTATTATTAAAGTTTTAATATGACAAAATGAATAATTGATGTCCTTATATGAGTTGGTAATAGTTTCACTTTGAACGATTTTGAAACGATTGTCTGTGGCACCCATAGCAAGTAACCTATATATTTTCTCTCAGGACTATTTTTCATTTTTCCCTCCTCACTTCTTTATAAGCCCTTCCTATCTCCATATCTGTTAGTCTTAGATAATAGCGGGTCGTTTCGAATACTCGCTTGTGTATCTCTGGCAGAAACTACATTACTCTTATAGGTTATAATCAAATTTATATCAAGTTACTCTGCTCTGTTGGAAGTACCTGCAGAGAAAATATAGACACCATATAGATTTACTAAATTTTTTGTGCCTCTCAGTATTTCATAATCAAAATTTGATAAAAATAAAGACCATCTCGGTGTCCTAGGTTAAATGTCATAACATTCAATTTTTTATGAGGATTTAATAAAAAATATCAACGTTTTATGATTATAAGAAACGGATTATATAATCTGTAATGAGTATTAAGGTCTTTGATTCTTCTTGTTAAAATAACACCTTTCTATATAATTTTTGCAACATATAGTTACATATTTACTATTTATATTTCGAACTTTTAGAAGTTTTTAAATTTTCAATGAGCCAATCATTTTTATATTTTCGGATTTATTTCACCACACCTGTAGAAAGTGGATGCTTTCATGTGGCACACCAGCTGTTTGAGTTCCTATAATAATAGCAATATCCATCATTATTACTAAACACCGATCTTTTTTTAATCAGATCATAATTATTACTAGCCCTGCTAACTAAATTATATTTATCATTTAACATCTGAACCAGATGAGTTACTTATTTTATCTCGTTAGTAGCTTATTTGTTTTGAGTCATCTGAATGGTATCTTTCGTCATAACTGAAGGCCACGAAACTTCATTCCATGATAAGTCTCAGCTTTAATTAGTTTCATCAATATCGTATCATTCATCCCCTCCCTTAATAACGGCCCCTTAGAAAATTCTTCTAATTGAAAATATAGTTGCTTGAATTTTCTCTAGGATTTAAACTGAGCATATGATCTTTAATGAACTCTTAAAATCCTTGATTCGTCTTGCTATATAATTTTCTCAGCATTAATAATCTATTAACATTTAATAATGGTGCAGTCAGTATTCGGGGGAAAAATTTAAAGACGGAGACGATATCCAAATTAATTTATCAAATATGGAATTCTTATTTTTTGAAAAAGACATAAATTAACAATCGTCACTGTCTTTACTCAGATAAGAATGAGGGTGTTTAACAATTATTTGTAAATTATGTTTACCACCGAGTAAGAAAATTAAATCGCAATTAGTAAATATGTTAATAGTCTATGACTGCAAAAAATTATTTCCTATAAAGTTGCTATTTTAAACTGAAGAATCAAGGACCTCAAAAACCTATTAAAGATTATATCACAATTAAAACGGGCAGTTGTTATCTTATAGTGAATCGATCCTCATAAAAAATTGAATGACATGTTATATAGGTACTGAGATTGTCTCTATTGTTATCATATCTTTGATTAAGAAATAGAAAATCATGGCAATGCAGATATGTAATCTAGATTTACTGTTAACTGACAACAGAGAGAGGAAAGAAATGATATAAATTTGATGGTATCAATGCCAGATGTATAAGTACTAGAAACGACCCATTATTATCCAGGGTTAGTAAATAAGTATCTAAAGGATGGTCTAAAAAGGTGAGGTGGAAAAATTATTAGAAAAAAATATGAATTCGATAGAAGCAGGTAGCTTGTTCTTGAGGCCAAGGACAATAATTCCAAAAAGTAGGTAACTTTGAGTTTTATGCCCTTTGCATATATTTAAAAATGAATTGTAAATTTAAAAAGTATTAAAATTACATAAATTATGTTTAATATAACCTAATTCAGTCAACCCTATTTATTTTTACTATCATTCTATTTCTTTAGTATAAATATTACCGAATTTATAATCTACTTAGTAGCATAAGAAAACGATGAGTTTAAAAAAACCTTCGATTTTTCGTTTTTGATACGGTGGGCTTCATCTATGACAAGATATTTCCAATTGAAGCGCTTCATGATCGCTTTCTCCTTGATCACCATTTCGTACGAGGTGATAAGCACGTCCCACTCGCCATTCAGGATTTCATTTTTAATAAGGTCATCCTTGTATATATATTGAAAGAAAATTTCAAATAATAAGTGCTGTGATGTACGTCAAGATATACCTCAACCGCGAAGGTTTATACTTATTTTTCATTGACGGTTGTCAGTAAAATTTTAATTAGGGATGTACCGATATTTTATATCGGATCGAGTCGATATTTTGCCTATTTTAAAATATCGGTTATCGGCCAAAATTATAAAATTTTCCGATCCGATATAAAATGGCGTCTTTAGCAAAAATAAAATGTTATAAAATTTTAAAAAAAAGTTATATCTAATAATTTAATTTTATAAATAAAATCGAAATCCATTTTTATGTATACTTTTTTTATTAATAATAAGTAATTAATAAACATTCTGCCATATTGTTATTTTTTTACGCATTCTTTTTATAAAAGTGGGCGATAATCTCTTTTAGTGAAGCTGGTGATATTGACAGCTACCATCGCCGCAGGCTGACTGATAAATTTGAAATTTTGGTATTTCTAAAAAGAAATCTTCGATATATTAATGTTAAATATTATTTTAATTATTTATTCCAAATTTCATAATATATTTGTTTATATTTAACAATAAATATATTTTATATACTTTTAGAATTGCAATTAAATTGAATATAAAATATAACTGATCATTATAATATATTCAAATGACATAAGTTATGGTAGAGTTAAATTATAGATGTTATACTAATAAAAAGTATATTAAAAATTAAAACCATTGGTATCTTTACAGAATACAAAATTAGATATGATATCGGATCGGTAATCGGCCGATATCAATTTAATATCGGGAATATCGGATCGGATCGGCCTTTATAAAGTGGTATTGGTACACCCCTAATTTTAATAAAATGACATTAATTTATAATTCAATTTTTTAAATTTATTTGGGCATTTTTAGTTTCACCGTCAATATTGTTGTTAGAGCTATTAAATCTTTTCTACTAACCTGCCATAAATTTATGTATTTTTCTTCATTCCCCTAAAATAGATAATTAATAAGTTTTTAAAAAATTATCTTTTACTTAGACACATCGATAATATTTTATCGATTTAATAAGTCTAATAACTTTATATAAAATTTTGAGCAGCTCGGGCCGATTCAATATATTTAATAAAGTTTGTTAATTTGTGTCGCTATAACATAAAATTGTATTCGTGCTAATAGTAATTATCAGAATCGCAAATATAATATCAATAACTTTTAATTAATGGAAGAAAATAAATTCATAAAAGGTTATCTTATTTTTCAGAGAAAGGCCCCATACTGTACTAGCCACTATATAATCAAAGATTTTATTGGGGAAGAAATAAATTCATATAAGAAATTATTAGAAGATATAATAAACATTTTTCTGAGATACGCTAATTCCTGTTTTATATATTATGAAATTAATATTATCCTGAGTAATCGTATGCATTTCAATTGATGATTTATTGAAAATAGGAGAATTAATTATGAAGAAAATATATGTGGAAAACCTGATCCTAGGTATTAATTACTTAAAAACCAGTCTTTCCTGAGAAAGGTAAAGAGTTATTTTCAAACATTTATTAAAAAAATTATTATGTAAATTTTTTCCTCCCTAATTCGTATAAAATATATATATTCAAATCAATAACAGGAAGATAATATTCGCATAAAAATTTTCATGTATAAAAATATTCATATTGTGTATTATAATTAAAGGGAGATAAAATTAGCGATATTATTTGGAAAATGTAATAGTCCGAGGAAATTTATAAGGAAGATGCCTCGATATACTAATTAGCTGAAGATTTTGAGTAAAATTCGTAAAAAACGAAAGAAACGGCGTATATCTATGAACAAAAAATGACGTCTTTCCTGTGGGGAATTAGTGGCAGATACAAATCCAATAACGTCCTCATATGGGGAGAAAATCACATTTCTTTTCTTACTTTTAAACTCGTTGAGGTAATGTATAACGTAAGATTTCATTGGTCCCTTTCTATAGGGTACCCGTATTCTCCAGTACGTCTGTAAGTGGGTTTGACTTAATACTTTCACCCGCCTTAGTAAAAACTTTCTTATTTATTTGCCTTCTTTGTCTATTTTTCGCGAGCAAATGATCAGATGGAGAAGTATAAGTATCTAGTATTAAGCCTTGAAGGTGGTTCCAAGCTTTGGGGACATTCCTAGAGTTTATAATCTGGAATGCCAAATATACTCGGTTCTCGATTTTTGTTTCTAATCTCCGTAACGCGACTGTCTTTTTGGAATAGATGAGCAACAACCACGGTTCTGAAGAACAATTCGAAATATAACTTTTAAAAATTCCAGTTTTTAATATTCCTGCTACTCCCACTTCAACTTGTCAACCCCAAGATTGTCAAAACAAAATAATTCCACTTCAAATATTGAAAATAAGTGATAAAATATTTCAGGATGACACTTTACCCCAACACGCGGTGGAAGAAGATTAGAAACAAAAACAGAGAATATATATGAGATAGCAGAAACTAGGAATGTATCACCAAGCCTAGAGACAGCCTCAAACTCAATAGGGTTTGAAATATTCTTCGAAATAAAAAATCTTTAAGGATTTTTATAAATTGCATAAAAAATCTTTCATGATAAAATCACAAATATTTTTTAAAAAAATTAATCTTCTTTAAAAAAAATACTCTATTTTGTAATCTTCAAAGATTTTTTAATAAAAATGTCGGTAAAAAATCTTCAATTTGAAACTCTAAACTTAGGAAGCTTTAATCTAATTTCCAATGTTTATTAAAAATCGTTTTCCGCATACAGTCAAATCACGTATTGCTAGACCTGTGCACCGGCCGCCGATCTTTTTTGGTTACGCCGAAAGCCGCCGTTTAATAAATCTCGCCGGCGTTGCACGGCCGGCTTAAAAATTTTTTTCATATTTTATACCTTTTTATTCTAATAATTGGTCAACATCACTATTGTAATTTTTTTAATGTCAATCAGGATTTTGATGAATTTTTATTTTCTACTATTTTAAAATCATAATTACATTGACGTCATTATAGATTCAATCAATCAATCAAAAATTCTAAAAGTTGCCATAATTTTACATATTTTTAAAATGGATGCATCTACATTTAATAATTCTATAAATAATTTTAATATCCTAAGTCTGGAAAATAAAAAATCCATAGTCTAGAAATTTTTTGGATACTTACACTTAAAAAGAGATAACAAAACAATTTCCATAAATTCTGACAAATTTTACTGCAATTGTTGCATAGAAAAGGCTATTGGAGACGAGCCATTTTCACAGTATATTTTTTTTAAATATTATTTTCTCATATATAGCCAAAATCTTTACTAAATTAAAATATATTTTTTGTAAAATAATAACCTAGCTATAAAATTATAAACTTCTCAATAAACATTAGCACGGGGAATTTGTTAAAACACTACTTCATCAAAATCGCAAGATTTAAAAAAATATTTTATATCCAAACCAAAATTCCAGATTCTAAAACCTCTAAAAAATGGCTTCTAGTAAGAAATTATGCGTTATTATGTTGTGCTGTTATTACCTTTTTAATCAATTGAATTGATAATATAGGAATGAAAGATTTTTTGAAGGTATCAAATTTATAGGTTAGGTGACTAAGAACAAGAATGCCACAGTTTTCTTGGAAAACGATATTCACAAGATGTGGACGTTCTAAAATTTTGGAGAGAAAAGAAGAGTGAACTTCCCAATCTTTACAAGCTAACCAAAAAAATTATTTGCATTCCGGCGACCAGCACACCGAGTTTTTTCTACTGGATTGACGTTTAATTCAAGGAGATCATCATTATGTCCCGAAAATTTAAATAATATAATTTTTATACATGATAATTATAAAATTACGAAATCGATTTTGGATTTATGAGTTTTCTATTAAATAAATATTATGCCGAGATATCTGTAGTGTTATTTGTTTTTTTTAAAAAAAAATTATTAAGCAATTAAAAAAATTTATGTTATAAAAATTTATAACTGCGCCGATTTTGTTGAAGGCGGCTAAAAATCGGCGCGCCGCCGGCCGTCGATTAGATTTTTGAAAATTGCTCCTACCGCCGATAGTTTCGTTGGCGCACAGGTCTACGTTTTGCCAATGTATAAATTAAAAATCAGATTAATAAAATGTATAAAATATTTTAAACAAAACAAATATTAGTGCTATTTATAAAATCTAAATATATTTTTATAAAAATGTATTCTAGCATGCGTATAATATCTATCCTATAAATTTTAGGACAATTATATAAGATGTTATGCGATTTCACTAAGGTAAATACGTTACGTGATTTGACTGATATTCATTATTCAAAATGATGTTTGAATAACTAAATGAAATGTAAAGATAATTTAAATGAATACATAAAATGGATTGTAAAAGATATTATTTAAATGAATAAACATATTACATATTACATATATACATAAAATAATTCGTATATTTATTTGAATTAATATATAAAACATATATAAATATGATGTTATATATTCCCTCCCTTTTTTAATTTATTTAATTTTTACCTTCCGATCTGAAATGAGAACAATGTTTTTCTCTATATTTTAAAGAACCTGTACCTGAGATAAGTATGGATGAGGATAAATTAATTTAAGTGTAGTGGACTTCCTATGATTGATATTTATTCATAATATAACATGAAGATAGTTTTGTTGTTATTTGAAGGTTATTTCGGTAATTAAAAAGGAAATCCTGTGCTTTTATATAAACGCTCCTTTTAATTTAATTGTGGGTGGTATGGAGATTATTCCTTGATAAAAATTCTCGACTTATAAATGGGGGCCCATTATATGTGACTAATATATGGCAAAAAGTCTTAATATTCCCACCAGGGTAAATTTATTAGATGAAAGTTTTTTTATATTTCTGACCATTTGCTTTCTATTATCACGAAATATATATCTCCGTGAATGCAAAGTCCAAATGAATGTGACCCATGGTTTATTGGCGGCCATTATACTATGATCGTTTACCTCAGGAACTAAGTATTTGACATGATTCACAAGTCTCAGTAATTTGAAGCCGTCGTTAATATTAGGCCACCAAGCATTTTGTTGGACTGAAAATTTTATTCATCTCATCCCATATATAAAGAGGATAGCATTTACTTTTAGATATTAGGAATTATAATTCTTAATCCCCATAATATACATCCCACCTTCATCGTAAGTTCATTTCGCCATTAAAAATTTTACGACGCTGAAAATTTCAATACATATGGGTAGGGGGGGGGGGTCGTTACATATCAAATCGATCAAATAAAAATTTCGCGGGACTATTTCAATTTTCGGAGTAATCACGGCTCAAAATATGAAAATGATCTATTCCTACGCTTATCGATTGTCATTCATTAAAAATCTATTAAAAACTACAAAGTGATATACATCGGGCCTAATTTTTCAAGCCCGCATGCCCGAAATTTTTTATAAAAGTTTTGCCGGCCTAGCCCGAACCCGAAATTTTTTTAAAAAATTTACCGGCCTGACCTAAATTTATTTAAATATAGAAACTAATTTTTATAATTACTCAAAATAAATGACATATGTTATATGGCGTCTAGTTTCCATAAATAAAATAAAATATTTTTATTTTACAAAAATTCAACATAATAAAAAAATTTCTAAGGCCCGACCCAGCTCGAATTTTCTTAAAAAATAGGCCCGACCTAGCCCGAACTCGATATTTTTTTAAAAAAAAGGCAGCAGGCCGCAGATCACTAATTCTAATATCGACATAAAGTGTATACATTTCATTTTTTTAAAAAAAATTTATAATTGTATATTATTAAATATGAATATTTTATTATTTGTTAATTTTTATAATTGAAGGATAATGGTCCCTTTGTTTTCAAAAAAAATATATCAATTTTTATATAACTGGAATGTCAATTTAAATTTATGAAAGAAAAAGATAAAAAGGTTATCGTATTTAACATTTAAATATATCATCTTTAAAGGTGTTTTAACATATTGTACTATAATATTCGAATATATTTCATGATTCGATCAAATTCAAAAATAGGACATAACTTTCTATCCTTTGCGGAATTTTTTTTATAAGTATGTAATCATATAAATATAATGAGTGAGATCTGAGAAAAGCTTAGTAATTAGTAGGAATATATTATTCAATCAAACCCTGGTCTCTTTATCACCGATGAGTAGGACGGCTTTCAACGAGGGCACCCACCGTTCGAATTCGCATTTCCAATTGTTGAGGGTAGATTTGGGGGCTATAACCAGGTTGGGCCCAGCGTGATTCCGATAATGCTTCATGTACCCCAGAAGGGCTATGGTTTGAAGAGTTTTACCCAACCCCTATAAATACCACAATAAATATTAAATGTTTATTCTAAGCATCTTTAAAAAAATATATAAAGGGATAAAAATAAAACACGAGAAAATATTGAAGTATAAAAATTAAATAGATTTCATAGCAACAATCATAATGTTAAAAATATTTTATTTGACGCGAACTAAGTTGATAAATAACAAAACAATTTTCATATTTTATTTAGTTTTAAAAGTAAAAAATAAAACAAATACTCATGTAGATCGAATTCACGATTATAAAAAAACCGTAAGGGTTATTTTCGGTCAGGTTTGGGCTAACGGGAATTCAACTAACACATGTTCACAGCTCCATTGGGCTAAGCTAGGAACCCTATGACAAATACACCAAACAACTACTGTGTTTAGTTTGTTGGGTTAATAAGTGTATAAATTTTGCATTAAAATATGGTTAAAAGTTTAAAAGTTCGGTATGATATTTACCATTTCATCGGCTAATATTCCGTTGATACCATTTTCGTAAAGTGATATCATCCAATTGAGCCCGCGGACTTGATAATCCCTCATTTCGCCATTTTTTACATCTTTATATACAAAATAATAATTTTCTTAAAAATAAAAACGATTTTTTTGCATAATAAAAATTTTCAATTTTTCAAAAATTTTAAGTTTTAATACTTTAAGGAAAGCCCTATATATTGGCCACATGTTTCTTTCTAAAAAAAGAAGGCTTATTTTGTGATTTTCAATGAGGTTATGAAAGTTTTCAAATAAAATTTTTATATTTTGAAATATACCTTAATCCTATTGTGTGTATTCTTCTTTGTAAGTAAAAATAATAACAAACAAGAAGCAGTATAGAAAATTGAATATTTTTCCACCATGTATAAGACGAATCAAAATGTGAAAAGATTAGATTGCTTCTGGTCATTATTAGACCAAGGGAAAAAACTTAATGGCAACACTTTAACACCTCTCGGTGTCACTGGCAACATATTTCACATTAGAATAATCAATTTAGAATTTATTTTAGAGATAAAAAAAAATTCAAATTTTATAACATTCATTTTGTATGAAAGAATTATGTATAATTTTTATATCTGTATTTAAAAAAAATATAATTTATTATTGAGCCTAGTTCACTGTTTTTTGGCCTAGATTTGTATTTTTGATCATAGCTTCGTTATTTTAAATAATTTTGGTTGTATTGTATATTGTTTTAAAAGGGAGATAATGTTTTTAGGTCTGGCCCTAGTTTATTTATTTTTAAAAAAAATTTACGCCCTATGATCTGGGCCTGTAGCTTTTTGCTTTTTGTTTAAAAATCCAATCGGTGGCAGGTGGCGCGCCGCATTTTTGGCCGCCGTCAATTTAGGGCGTAAAATAAAATAATTTTTGAAACAAAAATTAAATTAAAATATTTATTATAAATTACCTGTAGGCGAACAGGAGTAACGCATGTTTCTTTAACATATTTTCTTTAAATGAAATAATTTTCAAGATATCGTTATTTACTATCATGTTTCTATTTCACTTCTGTAAAGTAAGGCCAAGTTTAATGTGGACCATTTTTGTGAATATTGAAAATCAGTTGTTTCTTTAAATTTAAAAATTAATAGTTCTACTATAGGATCCGATTCGTAGTTTGAAAATTTGAGATAGTATGTTCCAATTCTTTTCAAAACATTATTGATTAGATTTTTAATAGTTCCCAGATATGCTTTCGAGCTCAATTAATATATTTTTATTTTAATGTTCTTGAATGCCATCATTATTAACATCATTGGAATCGCCTATAAATGCCACGGCCGTGCGCCAGTTATAGTGATCAAAAATATTGCTGCACACAGGTTCAGCTATAACTGATATAGATGTTAACGATTATAATATATATTGCACTAAATATATTACAATATTATTAGTTTAATGTTAATTTTTAAATTTATACAGCGTAAATTTTGAAAAATTTTAACTTTCAATTTACAGAGTTCTAGTTCACACGCTTCAATTTGCATTTGAAAAACTTTGTTTGTGTCCCGATCTAACTAATCTTCAACTACTCAGAAACGCAAAAAAAATAAGAAACGGCGATGAATGGGTAGCTGCGATTCCGAATGGAAAAAGGGAAATGTTACTCACAAAAGATGATTTTCAAATTATCCCGTCTGTTGACATCTGTGCTGCCTGCAATAAGCAATTTGACCCATTTTCTAAATATTGTTTCTCTTACCTTAACGTCAGTGGCCGTTTTTTGCGACATGACAATCTAAATAGGTTGATATGAGGCAAATCTTTGAATTCGGCCGGTTTTCCCAATAGTTTGGAGCAGTTAGGTCTCCTAAATGAGGATGGTAAGCATCCCGATGGCATGTCTTTAACATCTTGGCTCGGTGGCAAAAGACTTGTGTTATCTCATTTCCCGCTAATAGAAACTCTGACCTCTTGTGACACCAAGAATCAAAAAATGCAATAAATATAAGTCCCTTTTAAATTTTATTTTCATCCCTCTATTTTTTAGTGTTCTGGGAAACCCCAATCTTTAAAACAATTAGGTAAAAAAATTTCAATAAAGACGAGGATTAAAAACGAGTCCCTTTCCGTCAAACAAAAAATTCAATTTGAAATCCTAAAATGGAATTACAAGTGTTTCTTCGAAGCACTCCCTTTTCCCTCTTAGTTCAACACACATGGCATTCCTCTTTTTTATATATTATTTTTTCCCCTTCACGATTGATTGCGAAATTATATATTATATTTGTTTTTCTATACAAAAATATTTACTTGTTAAATAATTTTTTAAAAGATATAATATACAAATAATTAACTATTGTTTAAAAATTCATATATAAATGAATGTAAAGTATTAATTATATATATTAAACAATTTTTATGATAATAATATATAAGAAAATAAAGTAATAAGAAGATTTTTAAAAAATGGAATAACAGAATATAAATTTTTTAGAGTAAAAAAAATGTTCTAGATCGGCTAATAGATTTTCTTTCTTTCATTCTATTTTTTTTTACTGAACTCTAAATTATTAATGTTTTGTTAATTAACTAACAGTTCAACTAATTTAGAAGTTTAATAGTTAAATTTCCTTAAACATGATTCGAGTTGTGAAATAGAATCCTAGTAATCTATAGGACAATTTAGCGCAACTATGCCAATCAACACTATAATTAAAAGAACCTAAATTAAACAAATAGCAGTGATTTTAATAATTTTAATATATAATCTAAAAATTTCTATCAAAGGCTTGCAGACCCGTCCCAAACTAAAAATGGTATTATTTTAGAGCCAAGCCAGCGTTAAAGATTGGAAATGAAAAAATTAAAAATATACCATCTTTTAAAAATTATGTTAATTAAAGTGACAGTCAAGTTAATGGTTACCATCCTCTTCACTGCAAATTTAGCAAGGGTAGAGAAGTATCCGACATCAAACAATAAATTCTCCAATAGGTAAGATCCTCAATAAAACAGCTGATACCTATCTACTCTGGAACCAATAACGGAAAAAGATCAGATGACATAATTCTTATTCCATTTAAGGAAGGAAAAGAATTAGTTTGGGATTTAATATATACAGATGTATTTGACAACAATTCCTTTCCGGAATGCATAAACTAATTATGACGCGAAAAATCGATAAGCATTTCTTTTTAACCAATACTATTTTTATCCGACCTCTTTAAGAAATTTTGACCCTGACAGCCATTAAATTTTTAAGCCGAAAAATATCATCAAACCTGGAGATCCCAAATAAATTCTTCTCGAAAACAGCAAATTTTTATGACAGTATGCAAATCAAATCTAGTCTCCAATCATGATTCAATGCCAGCCTTGCTTTTTGGGGATTTTTTTTTAATGTCTAATTTTTTTAATTCCCATTTTATATAAGCATGCTTTTAATGTAGATTTTTTTCAAAAATAAATAATAAAGTTTTTAATTAATCAGTTGGAAAATCATAAAATGGAGTGTGAAGTAATTTGTAAATATGCATTAACAAAATTTTAAAAATTCCAGGCTGGGCCATAAAGTGGTGTAAAATAAAGGACACCTAATTTCTGGGCAGGGTTTGAAAATTTAAAAAAAATAAAATCTGGGCCAGGCCTAAAATTTCTATCTCTACTAGTCTCTAAGTTCTATCATTATTCAAACTTCTTTGTATGAAGCACTAGCACTCCAATTAAAATAGTAACATTATTGGGTTCATCAAATTGAATTAATTTCCTAGCCATAAATTTTATAATGTTACAACTTTTGTACAATCTTTAGAAGCTAATATTTTAAATTTTTAAAAAATAATTTTAAACAATAAAATATGTATTGTATAATGTTGCAAACGATAGTGTCGTTTTTTTGAAAACAATAATTATATTTTTGATTTTAAAGGTGAGCGCGTTCCCCTTTTGACCAAGGCGTTCGTGTTTAAATTTAAAAAAATTTTATTTTTATTATAAAAATAAAAAATAATTATTTAATGCAAATCCAAATTTTTAAGAAAAAGATTATTAATCGCTGTTTCCTTTATCACATTTGAATTTTAACTCATCACTATTTCTGTCCTTTAATTTAGTTAATTAATTTTATTATTATTTATATTTTATAAATTAGGATAAGCATGTATGCTATTTCATCTTCATGTAGCATTTTTTAAATTGTTCATGAGACAAAAAAACTATCATAACTATTATAATTATAAAATGGGAATTCGTTACCCAGGCTTCAGTAAAAACTGCGACATAATCATCTGTAAGATACATATTCCTGTTTTTAAGCCTGTTTACCCTGGTTTCAGTGAAAACTGCGACATAATCATCTGTAAGATACATTCCTGTTTTTAAGCCTGTTTACCCTGGTTTCAGTGAAAACTGTGACATAATCATCTGAAAGATACATTCCTGTTTTTAAGCCTGCTTTTAATAGTACTATGGACTGGTTATAACCAATTTCTAGAATATAAGTTATGGTCACCTTCTTTGAAATGGTCAAATTAGGTAAGGCATTAATAGCACCCATCATTGACTAAAACAATTTTATTGGTAGTATCATTTTGGAAATATGTTAATAAATAATCACCTATAATCGGTAAGATTATGGTGTGAGTCATAATTACCATTGGTTATCTTTTATTTATCTCATTGATTGGTTGAATTTTATTTATTAATTTTTTTTGATGAATATTTTTATCATCGAAAACCATTGGTTGTTAATTTTACACCTATCTTTTTTTAAATATTTTTTTTGCTCGTTTCAGAGCATAGTTGATCGTACGCTATCTATGGCAAATTTATGAGCTAATCTTTTTGTTATCGAACTGGAGCTCACAATATGGTTATCATTTCGATCTCCCAGGGGTATTTTACCTTTTCAAGATGGCAATTCGTCTACGTTGGCTTCCCCAGCAATTCCGGAAGACTCAAGGCTGAATATTGTGGATTATGGCTCAACACACCCAACAGGATATCCTGCATACGGTGATATCAACAACGATACCCTACCTGCAGAGTACATCGGCAATTATATTGAGGGCTGGGAGGAGTACCACCGAAGATTTTTGGGAGAATTCTATGTTAC